TATCTCACATTGCACCCCAGTTATTTTGGTGAGCATTAGACTTAGAGGAATGGGTCGAGCTGTCGGGAAAGGGATCCCACACCAGTGTTGAGCCAAACTCGAAGTAAAAATTGATATGGAAGGTGAATCGGTAACCAAATCAAAAGCAGATAAGAAAAACAGATCAAGGTGAGAATCAAATGTGCGAATCGCAGATTTTTGGAGATCTTCAATGCTAACAATGCACCAGCAAGATGACAACAACAATAGAGATCATCAATGATGACAATGCACCAGCAAGCCAACAGCGACGATGAAGATCTTCAATGACGACAATGTACCAGCTGAATGAAACCCTCTGTAGGCGATGGAGGTCTTCAACGTCGATAATGGAGATCTATAGTGTGTGGGTGAGGTGTGTACTCAAGCAAGTGGTATGCTGCTTTAGGGTTAGAAATGAAAAGCTAAGGTGTGAACGAAGATATTTTCAAACCCTAATAATTATTATATGTGTGTGTACTAAGTAATGATGTGTACTAAGAGGATTATTGGTGTGTAAATAGAATCTTTGTTTTAAATCCGACACATAAATGAGAACTTAAAAAATACATATTCTCATCTCAAAATTTGTCAAAATTTTTAATTTTTTTCACAAATTAAATGTATTATTTGTTCGGCACAAAAATAAGAACTTAAAAATAATATATTATTGTATCAAAATTTTCAAATTAATGTTAGACAGAGGGATTGCTTGAAAATTAGTCAAGTTGACCTGAACTTTGAGTGCTCGAGCTTAACTCATTTTGTATTGAGCTCAACTCCAAAATTAATCCAGTTCGAGTTCCACTTGACTTGTTAATACTGATCATATTCAAGCTTGGCTCAAAATTCTATAATGAATAAAAAATTGAGCTCAATATTCAAGTTCAGTCAGCTTAGTAAGTGAGTTTTTGGGATTGGTTTTTTCAGTGTTTTTTTTTGTTTTTGTTTTTTTTAGGCTTATTTATTGTCTTCAGTAAAAAAAAAAAAAATTTATTTTTTAAAAAACTTTTGACTTTTAGGTTCTACTCAACTACACAAATCAAAATTTTTAAAAAATAAAATAAAATTTTAAAAAACAAATCCACTAAAGACAAAAAAGAAAAAAAAAATAATTAGCTTTATTAGCTTTTAATTTTTTTTTCCTCTACAAATATTAATAAAATATGTATATATAACATATTTGACATTATTTAATATATATATATATATATATATTATTATTTATATAATAAACGAGTTAAGCTTTATTAGTCAAACTTATTCTAGTTCAAGCTTAACTTGTTTATTAAACGAGCTTAAAATCTAGATTGAGCTCGTTTATATATGTGATGAACAAAACTAAGTCGAGCTTGAGAGTAGCTTAGTTCAATTGAACCATATCAAAAAGGGAAATTCTATGATGTACTCCTCAAATAGAGTGTGTACCATAAACTAACCAATTTTGATTTTTGACACCATTTAGGCTTTTAATTTTAGATTATAACAAAATCACAACATATATTCTTACAATTAACAAATATGAATCCAAGAATCATATTAAGCACATAATTAACATTCAAATTCACACTAAGCATATAAACACATGCAAAGTTAAAGGATTAAAAGCATAATACGTGACGGGGTTGTCACAACAATCTCATTGGAATTTCTCCGAGTGTGTTTGTGTGTTTATGTTTGGAATTTCTTTGGGCATTACACATATACTACTCTCTTGTGCATTTGATTTTCACTGCACACATTACACACTTGCATGTTGATTTCTCTAACATATTTGATTTTTTCTAAAATTTCTTTGCCCTGTTGATTCTCTTTGGTCATTACACACTTGCAATCTAATTTGCATATAAAATTTTTCTATAATAATAGAATTTACATTCTCTGCAAATGTAATTAGAGAAATTTACTTGCATGTTGATTTCTTTAGCATATTTGATTTTCTCTGAAATTGTTTTGCAAATGTAGTAAGGGAAATTTACATTCTCTGTAAAAGTAGTCAAAAAAATTTACTTATATGTTGATTTCTCCAGCACATATGATTTTCTCTGAAATTTATTTGCGATGTTGATATTCTTTGGCCATTACACACTTGCAATCTGACTTGCATATAAAATTTCTTTGCAAATGTAGTCAGAGAAATTTACATTCCCTGCAAATGTAGTCAGAGAAATTTACATTCCCTGCAAATGTAGTCAAAGAAATTTACTTGCATATTGATTTATCTGGCACATCTGATTTTCTTTGAAATTTCTTTATAAATGTAGTCAATAAACCCACTTTCTCTCTTTACCATTTGATGCACCATTCAAAACCTATAACCCAAGAGTAATGAACTTCTTGAATAACAATACAACCCGGGGGCATAGAGAAATTTCAGAAGGTCCTTTAAATTCCTGTGTAGGTCCTCCAAATTTCGCCAAATCTTTGAGTTTATTGTTGTCCATGATCACCAATTCCCTAGTCTTTAGCAGATAAATCAAGGACCCAACCTCATGGTAGCGGACGAGGTAGACGGTGTGAGCGTGGCTGCGAAGGTGGCATAGGGGGGTTCTGGACACGGCGTTGAAGACATGGATAAGGCCAAAGTGGGAGCCAACGATAATGAAGTGGCCGTTGGAGTAGAATGAGGTGGGGGTGGTGGTGTCGGAGAATGAGGAGATAGTAGATTTAGGTTCTAGGGTTTGGGAAGAGAGAGATCAGAGAAATGGTGGAGAGAGAAAAGATAAACCCAAATCTATAGAGAAAGAGAGAGCAGAGAGACGAATGAGGGTAAATTTCATATATATTTTTTTTGAATAAAATAAAAACAAAGGGTATGAGGGACCTTAACTAACAAAAAAAAATAAATAAATTTGTGGACCTCTCCTACTACTCAAAGTTGAAGAGAGATGTTAGACCAATTTTTTCAATTAAGGCCTTGTTTGGAGTACTTTAAAAAAGCTAAAAAATTAAAAAGTCACTATCCAATTAATGTCACATCATCTTATTTAAATCACATCACCTCTTTACCGCATCACTTTAAACTCAACCTATACCCAAACATATTTCATAAAAAATCAAAAAGTGTACTTATTTAAATCATGCCAAACCACCCTTAAATATTGACATATGTCTAATTAGTCTTAATTTAATATTACATAAATAGTCAAATCACAAGTTTTCACCTGTCAAAACGATGCAGTTTTCAAGATGATAAGCTTTTGGCTAATAAAATTAAGCCACTTAACATATTGAGGGTGTCAAGCTAATGAAATTATGACACACTATTAAATAATATTTTGATATTTATCTCTACATAAATTAGAAATAATTATCAAAAAAATTGAAGTCTATTAAGACTCTCCTCCACTCATGTCTATAAATAGGGGTGATCTCCAATAAAATTATATACACAATTTTACATACACAAAATCAATTTGTGGAGACAAAATTTTACATCAAATAAGAACAAGCCGCATAAGATCAAAGCTCCAAAGCCCGAAAGGTTTTTTCACTGAAGCTTATAAATCTGCAAAAGCCATAAAGCTTGGAGATTCAACTCAAACTTCTTTTAATTTGGAAATAAGTTGTCTGGCTCTTAAATCAAAATCCTATCAATTGGAATATACTTCGCGGAGATTTTCCCGTTCAATTCAAGAATAAACTGTCAAGTACTTGCATCAATTTTTAATGAGAAAAATTAGAGAATTTTCTTTGATTATAAATTTTATTAGAGATTCTACCCACATTATTTTAAATCAATAAATTTATATTTGTTATAATAATTTTTTGTCTTCATTTTTTCAAATAAGAAATTTGTGTGTATAATTATTATCTCTTTTATATAAAAATGTATATTTTATGTTGTTTATTTTTCTGTTTTTGTACCATACACATTAATTTCAATCCATTTAATTTTATTAAAAGAGAGGTCACTTTCATCATATTAAAACTATAATGCATATAATATTTTTTGAAAAAATTGCCTTTAAATGAAACAGTGATAAAAAAATTATATTTTTATGATAGTACAACTCTCCTGTGTAGATAATACAAATTTATTTATGTGTTTAATATAACTCTTTTTATATATCAAAATTGCACTATTTTTTTTTATTTATAATATAATTATTTTATAATTGTCTTATGTATTTGTAATTTTTTTTTTTATTTTCTTAAAACATGAAAGGTCGGTATAATAACCTAAAAAAAATGCTTGGCAGAAATGAGTGCACACGTACCTGACTGAAAAAGAAGCAGATGGAAAAGAAGGTATTGTAAAGAGTGGGAGAGAGAGAACTGACACATTGCGTTGCCTTAAAAGCATAGTAGGGCACATAGTAGGGCACAAGGTTGTCTTGTAGGCATTGGCATTTTGGGATCTTTGACCGAGAGTGGCAGATCCATAAAACAGATTGTGATGCCTTGCAAAACAGCTTAGTGGCTTATAGTTGAAGCCATTCAAAGCTAAGCTTATCAAAGCAGCTCTGCGAGGGCGGTTTTGCCAAATCACATTTTGGGTTGTCACCTACGAGAGGCTCTAATGTAATCTAAGTAGGGCTGTTGTTTTCGACCTTTTTAATTTGGTCTCGACATTTTTTTTGAACCTTCATTAAAATGAAGTTTATTTATTTATTTGTTTAAATTCCAATCTTAGTACCAACGGTGTCCATAACTCCAAATCCTAACCCTAATCTGAACCTTAATCCCATCTACATGAACTCCAACAACTTCTGCCACTATTTCCAGTAGCCATTGATGACAACGGCTTGCTCCGGTTACACCCTCCGCTACGGCACGCCGCCACCAACCTCTGTTGCCACCTCCTTCTTCACTCTCCATTGTTGCATTGTTTGATTCAATTCATTCACAAACCAATCCAAAAAACAAAAAACAAAATGGATTTTCCAAAACTGTTCAATTAAAAGAAGAAACTAATCTCCGCATCTTTGATCCCCTCTTTCTTGGGCTCACGATCCTCCTTTCTCAACTCTTGTGCCCAGATCAAAGAAGAAATCAAGCAAGTCTTCAAGAAATTCGACGTTAATAGCAATGGAAAGATCTCATTGTCAGAACTCGATTCGATCCTTGGCAGCTTTGGTCACATCACCACGGACGAGGAGCTCTAGATGATGATCAAGCAGATCGACGACAATAATGATGAATGCATCGATCTCAGCAAGTTTATCGAACTCAACACCAAAGACATTGATTCCGATGAGGTTTTGGAGAATCTCGCCGAGGCTTTCTCTATGTTTGATATCGATAAGAATGGATTGATCTCTGCCGTGCAATTGATCAATATGCTTCAGAGCCTCGACAAGGAATGCTCGATCAGCGAGTGTAAGAAGATGATCAGTGGTGTTGATTGTGATGGCGATGGAATGATCAGTTTTGAGATGAAGAAGAAGAAAAAGAAGAAGAAGAGGAGGGAGACGATATAGAGGCATTGGAATGGTTGCCGAAGGAGGCTACTAGCCGGAGTGGAGGCGGAGGTGGGGTTGGGGTTGGGATTGGGATTGGGGTTAGGCTTAGGGTTGGGGTTGGAAGGATAGAGATGGGGTCAAAAATAGAAATTGATGTTGGGGCAAAATTGAAATAAAAAAAAATAAAAGAGTAGGGGGTCTGAAGAAATCAAGTATGTGACAATAGTAACCTTTGTTCCAAAACATTGATTAAGAACCTCATCTATCAGTTTTTTCTTTTTTCTTTTTTTTTAATTCTAAAATGTCGTTCTATCCTAAAATTAAATTACTAAAATAGATATTCACTTAAATCCCTAACCCCAACAACATTCTTATCCCTTTTCTAGCCATTTCCATAGCCACTTGCCACCTCTTGCCTCCCCATATTCGTTTGTCGCTGCCACTTCCTTCTTCGCCACTGTTGTATTCCTATTGTTGTCGCCGCGAACATCTAGGGTTTTGGATCTAGGATTTTAAAATAAGAAGAAATGTGGGTGAAGGTGTCAAGACGGAGATCAAAACAAGGATTGATGGACAACGGCGCGATTTGTAAAGAGAGTGAATTGTTTGTGACGGTGACAGCAAGAGGAGGCTAACCAAAGAGATAATGGAGGTGGAGAGAGGCTAACCGAAACAAAGGAAGAAGTGAGGTGGTTGGTGATGGTGATGGCAACATGAGGGTTGGTCGGAGGTAGAAGAGGCTGCTGGAGCTAGGGTTTGGGTTAGAGCCCAGTTGGGGTGATGAGGGATGTGATTGGGATTATTAGGGTGTTCAAAGTGCAAAAGAAAAAATTTAAATTTAGGCTTGGGGTGTCCTAAGAATTGGGGTGCTCAACCAAATTCTTAGGATGATTTTAGAGCTATTAAATCTATATTACAATAATAGCCTTAAATAAAAAGATCATTAAGAAAAATATGGATATGTATTATACCAATTAAAAGAATTCATTTATGAAAACATAAAACACCCTTTACACACAATCATCTATAGATATATACAAACACTGTATTTCATTATTATCTTTCAACTTTGATCATTTTCAACATTATAATCTAGCATACTACACTCATGATATCATTCATTATCAATTAGCACACCTTATTCTCTTCTTCAGTATACTGATTTTTTAAACTCAAAACATTATTACCTTCGAAGATTTAGGGTTTAAGAATATTGAAATCAATTAGTTTTGAAGATTTGCACACCATGAATGACACTCAGATTGTTGGTTTGGAATAATGCAATAATGAAAATGTCAATTTACTACTTACAATGGCTTTTTGGTTTTTTTTTTTTTTTTTTTTTTCTCATTCGTATAATCACTAGGAAGATGACTTTGTTCATCATGTGTTCAGATTATAAGAGTTGAACGTTTACCCATTATTTGATTATTTATATTTGAACAAAACTATTTTGTTCAAATTATTAAAGTTGACCAAATATTGAATGTTTATACATAAAAAAATTGAACATTTTGAATTCATTTTCCTTAAAAGAAAAAAGGGAGATTTAATCAAAATCCCCTCATAATAAAACTTTAATGCATTAAAGTCAAGTACAAAAAGTTTTCTTTGAAAAGTCCAACACATACCATTATTACCAAAATATCGTTAGTTAATTTTATATTTCAAATTTCAAAATGATATAACTTTTGATCTAGATGTTGGTTTAATAAAATTAGTATTTTTAAAATCTTCTCATCAAGATCTATCAAATAAAATTTAGGTTGACTATGAAATTCTTAAAAAAATAATAACAATAAAAAAATACTGTCGTAATTGACGTAAACAGTAAAGTTTTACTTTGTTTCATGGTAAAATTTTACTTTGATTCATAATAAAATTTTACTATTAATGTTAGTTTTAATAGGAAAAAAAATTACGATTTTTTTTTTTTAAAGAATTTCATAGCCAACATAGATCTTGTTTAGTAGATATTGACGAGAGAATTTTTCAACTACTAATTTTATTAAAAACCAATATACAAATCAAAAGTTATATCATTTTAAAGTTTGAAACATAAAAGTAGTTATTAAGGGTAAGATTGTTTACAAAAAATAAAATAAAATAAAATAAAAACAAATTTGTTTGTCTTTGATGAAAGAAACAATTCTTCTTCACGGGACTTACAAATTAAAAAAGTTTGGACTGTCCTTTTCACTTTAAAAGGGACTAATAAGGGACTTTTGGCCAAATATTCCTAAAAGAATATTAAACTTTTATTATTTTTTAAATATAAATTTTTGAACATATTAAGTTTGTTCCATTCTGTATTCATGAAATTATTTTTTTATTAATTTTTTTTGCAGAATTTTGTACCGACTCAATGTTTTAACTAATTGTTGTTGACTACACAAGTTAATTTGTTACTAAAGAGGTACATTCATGTTTCAAGACAATATAAATGGATAGCTTTTTTTTTATTATTTTGTTTTTCATTTTGGAAATGTACTAAACTTGTTTTCCTATTAAATGTAGGTTTTCAAAAGTAAAGAAGCATTACTCAGTTGGGTACGAGAAGTTGAGAAATGGTTTTGTGTTGTGTTCAAGACTTGGAACTATGGTAGCAGTTGTACAAGACTAAGGATATATCTTAAATATGTTCAACAGAATAAAAATAAATATGCAATAAATGTTCAACATAGTAAGTATGAACGAGTAAAAGTTGTTCAACATATAAAGTATGAACTTATTAATTTTATTCAACATAAATATTTTGAACATATTCAATTTGTTCAAATTTTTTTTTTTTTGGTATGATAACATTACGTTCCAGACAACCAGTTGTAGACAACCCATTTTTGACTGACCTTAAAACTTAGGCCTTCTATGAAGAGCTACCAATGATGAAAGCAAAGATCGTTTCGAGCACAAGTCAGGGATGAAAAGAGACAAACATTCCTACACATGTATTGACCAAATAGTTTTCTTCTAGACCTTCAAACCTATTTTTCTAAGTGATTTTTTAGGCGAGTGGTACCTTCTCATTTGTTTTGGTCATTCCTAGCGTTGTGTTTATGAAAAGTGTTGAGCTACTTTTCATAAAAGAAAGCTTAGAAAGTCAGAATGAATGAAAAGATGGGGAAACCTTTTGAGAAAAATGTCCGGATATCTCTTGGTTAGCCAGACAATTTTTTAGAAACATGACGGACAACTTTAGTCCGAATAAGCACATTCGGATAACATCTATCTGGATAAGCACATTTGGACCCTTTCTTGCTTTGACGGACCTTTTTTAAGAAAACACGACAGACTACTGTTGGTCGGCTATACAACTTTTGTCCGGCGAAAACCTATTGACGTCAGCCAGACAAATTTCTCATGAAGTGTCCCCTAGCATCTTAGAATATGCCGCATGGATCCTTGGGGACAAAATAGCATATTCTAAGCACCCCAAGCCTATATAAACCATATTCTTGGAGAGATTGATGAATTTAGTTGGCTAGTTCATTAGTTGATTTGAACATTGAGCTTTATACATATTCTATATACCTACACGCTTAGACGATCTTCTTCATTTCTTAACTTGGAGATTTAGAGCTAAAGATCTTCATCTGCTTGAGGGAGCTTGGATTGAAGCTTGTGACCTGCTTAGGCCCTATCTCTGCTAGTTTTAGAGGTAATTCCTACTTCCATTTTAGATTTCTCGCACGTCCAATCTCTTTTCCTTTTCTTTTTTTTTTTTTTTTAAATTTTTTTATAAGAAATTTTCTTGAGATCTTGAGATCATTGTTGGGTTGTTATTAATAGCTTAGTTGGATTCTCTTCTTCCACTTCTTTTCTGTAGTAATTTGAGGCCTGTATAAAGACTTTGCCCAAGTCTAACTTCCATTTTCTTACTTTATTATGGGTTAGAAGCCCATGCATAGCTTCCTCTATAAGAATGGTTAGATTCTTTCCTCTTCGTATTCTATTTTCATGAATTTGGATAGTTTATACCCTTATTCATGTGTTGGATGATGAGAATCTCTCCATTCTCAATAAAGTTTCCCTCATTTATTGTTTTGTCGATTTTTGTTGCAATAGAAGCCCATGTAGGGTTTCCTCCATGAGAATAGACCAAATCTCCCCGCTCATAACTCTTTTTCATGAATTTGGGTAGTTTATACCTGTATTCATTTGTTGGAGGGGGAGAATCTCTCTATCCTCATCAGAGCCTTCTTTATTCTATTGCTTTGTTGAGTTTTGTTGCTATAGAAGCCCAAGTAGGGTTTCCTTCATGAGAATAGACCGAATCTCTCCTCTCGTCACTCTTCTTCATGAATTTGAGTAGTTTATACCCTTATTCATGTGTTAGATGGCTAGAATCTCTCTATACTCATCAGAGCCTTCTTTATTTCTTAGTTCTGTTGATTATTGATAATATAGAAACAGAGGCATAGTTTCCTTCATGAAAATAAGTTGGACCTACCTTCTTAAAACTCTTTTTCATGGATTCAAGCAGTCTATGCTTGTTTCCATGCGTATAAAGGCTAGGACCTCCTTATCCTCGTTAGAGTGTCATGTGTGTTGGACTGAGTTTCTTCTCTCACTGCCCCTCTCTCCCTCTCTCTCTATCATTTTAAGCTTATTTACTTCACTTTGATATTGAGTTGTCATCATGACATTCACATGATTAGATTAGGTTCATGCATCTGAGCCCGAATTATTGTCTTAGTAGATATCATTATGTGGTGTGCTTCTCTTGATAATCCATATGTTATCCTTAGTGGAAATAAGGCACGTAGGATTCATTTAATGTATGTGTTTGCATTTTGTAGATTATCATATCTAGGATTATGCATTTTTCTAGCTAGTTATCTTTTATCACACTTGGCTGGAGTGCCTAATGAGTTTTCTTCTTATTTCCTTTATGTAGACACCCCATTTTTTACTGTCTTTAAGACTTGGATGTCATCGTTTGTGCACTTGATGATTGTGCTTGTTTGTGTTCGTTTTGGGCACCCGAAGTCCTCGGCGGAACGCCCTGACTTTGGGCC